AGGTAGCAAATAAAATCTTTGAAACTGAGATTAATGAACTATGTTGTAAAATCTAATAAATGAGAATTATTGAGGGGGTCGAAAGCAAAGAGATAGCTCAGCTTCCGTTTCGCACGTGCCCTTAGACGGAAGCCGAGCAAAAGCATATTCCTCCTTCAGTGCTCCTCAACACCACCTATACAGCTGCAAACCTGGTGACGCTTCCTCATTGTTTGAGTCTCCTTCAGTTGTGCGACTTCAATGTCCCTTGTTGCTTCATGATGGCGCAGTAACATTGCGTGGCGATTATCCATTTGACGTTCTAAGACGTTGAGGTCCTGAAGCGAGTAGAATATATGCAACAAACTGCTGCTGTCAAATTGAACGGAATCCTCTCCACTTTTTTCTAATGTACGATGGACAACTCAAGTATTTTAAACAAGTTGTAAAAGTTTTCTTCTCTTAAAAGGTATGTCAAAAACTCAAAGGTTCTATAGAGGGACGCCTTTTTATACAAGTTGTAATTTAGTCAAAGCAATTCAGAGAAAGAAAAGCTCACTTCTTCGTCCAGCCGCTTCTCGTTGCTGTGAAGCATTGAAAGTTGAGCACGCCGATATTTAACGAGTTCGGTCTCGAGTTCCGCACGAAGCTTCGCTTCAAACGCCGTTTCAGCATTCGTCCTTTGTCGCGTCAGCTGAGCTTTCACGTCCTTTACGGCTGTTTCGTAGGCAGATCGCGATAATCCACGTTCTTTCAAACTCTGAAATAAATGCGCTAAACAAGAGGGGAAATAAAAGCAAAAAGGGGAAACTACGACTGTCAATAGGTTCCATATTACGGGAACTCTGAAAACGCACGTTTTTTGCAAGCTCTTTGTTGTGGCGATATTCTTTCAGCTGAGAGTTGGAGAAACAGCGCATTTCATGAGCATGGCGTGTCTGAAAAGTGTTATCATACAACACGGTAATATCTTAGCATAAACTATTCAGAAAGAGAAGGGAAGAACAGCTGATCAGAGGAACCTACGATAAACTAGTCATTCATTCTTTCGTCGTTTAAGGCCAGTAATATTGGCCACAGACTACACATTATATAAAGTGGCACAATTTGCCAAACGCATAAAGTGCCTTGATTTCGAAAACTCACCAAAATTTGTTTCCGCAGTTTCTTTTCGCCCTCGTCGACCTCCTTTCGTTTTTTCTCCATTTCGCTCTGATGCGCACTCTTGAAACGTTGTCGCTCCTCAAATACATCACTTTGATTATGCGTACCAAAAAGTTTGCCCCTTCATGACCACATCATTGAAGTTCAACCGTTGGCAGGGGCAACATGAAAGTAAAGAAGGAAAGAGTTAAAATGAGACAGACCTTGGCATATCCGGCAACAAGTTGGTCGAGCTCCTTGTCTAAACGTAAACGAAGAAGCTCAATTTCAGCAGCGCATCGCTCCTCCAGCTGAATGAAACTGTTCGTTTTGAAGGTATAAGCACTACTGCGTTATCAAGAAAAAAAAAACAGAAAATTGTTTGATTTCCTTAATAGAAGCGCCAAGCTTTCGAATCACACTCATACTCGCAGCAGTTTTTATTAATTTTTAGCGTGCATTATTCCTTTCATAACTACTGTAGATAGCAAAATTATCGCGCTGCGGACTAAGTATTTAGCACGTCTGGAAAGGTGAGAATCAACTTTAAAATTCTCGTGTAGCCTAACACAGCGCTCTTCCCAGGTGTGAAGGAAGGATGAAAAATTCACCAGCGGCGCGGGCAATGGTTGGACAGTGACCCTACAATTATAGCGCTTTAATTACCTCTTCATGAACCTATGCTCCAGTATGTAGTACCGATGCGCATAATAGCAACTACAGTTGCTAATCACAGTAGAATTAGCCTCTTTACTGAAAAATAATCTCCCATTTTGGAAATAAATTCCTCACCGGCTTCTGACCCAGTGCTGTTAACCATTAACCATCTAATCCTTCTCGCTTCCTTTCCATTTCCTAGTGTTGTTTAATAGTCATTGGCGAAAAGCCAGCAAATTATCGCCTTTGGATTGCCTTGAAAGGGTGCTGGTCGTTGCTTCCACCCCACCGCGCTATCGCTGCGGCAAAAGCCAACACACGCCACCGGTACATTCTGTGACGCCTCTCCCCAGCGACCTAGCCCCGATGGATTCCCAATGTTCGTTTGACCCTAATTGAGCATCGCCTGGTCAAAGTAAGCCATTTGACAAGCCAAATAAACACTGAAGCAACAGTACGGTGAGCAAAAATTGAACACGAGTCTCAGGAGAAGATTAGTGCCGCGCGCGTTTCCACCCTTTTCACTTAGGTATTCTCCGAGACAAATTGGCTGTAAAGTTTACCTGTTGCATCTCTTTATGATGCATTTGGCGAAGACGCTTGTAACCATTCATCTGTTCGTACATATTGTTCTCTTTGTTGTACTCTTCTTGTTCACGTGAGATCAGCTTGGCAGAGCGTAGTGTAGAGAATTTGGACTTCTTCAGCGTTGCCATATCATCCTAAACAACAAAGTTGAGTAGTGATTGCATACAATTGCATAAGAACACCAAGAAGACGGGGAAATTCAATCATAACACACTTGGAACTGCGAAATGAAGCGTCCGGATGATC